GGAGGGCCCTAAAGCGAGTGGACGTCAGGAAAGCAGCAGGTCCTGATGGGATTTCTGGCCGTGTTCTGAGGTCCTGTGCTGATCAGCTCGCTGGTTTGTTTACATCCATCTTTAATAAATCCCTTGCTACCTCGGTAGTTCCCAACCCCTTTAAAAAATCTGTCATCATCCGTGTGCCTAAGAACAATAACCCCTCTTGCCTGAATGACTATTGTCCAGTTGCCCTCACGCAATAGTCATGAAGGTCTTTGAGAAACTTATAAAGAACAACATTTGCTCCTCCATCCCCAACAGATCTACTGAAGATGCCATCTCTCACGTCCTGCACTCTTCCCTCATGCACATTGACAGCAGCAATGGGAACTATGTAAGCCTGCTATTCATCGACTATAGCTCAGCTTTCAATACTATAGTCCCCATCAAGCTAGTTTCTAAACTCATGAACCTCGGCCTGAATTCTTCACTCTGCAACTGGATTCTAGATTTCCTCACTGGTAGACCTCAAGTGGTGAAAGTAGGCCAGTTCACCTCCAACTCCATCACCCTGAACATGGGAGCTCCACAGGGCTGTGTCCTGAGTCCTCTGCTCTACTCTCTCATACACACATGACTGCGTGTCTTCCCACAGCTCCACATCTATTATCAAATTTGCTGATGATACTGTGGTTCTGGGCCTCATTTCCAACAACAATGAGGCCACATACTTGGATGAGGTAGAGAAACTCACATCATGGTGCCAGGACAATTGTCTCTCTATGAATGTGAGTAAAACTAAAGAGCTGATTGTGGACTTCAGGAAGAGACAGACCCCAGTGGAGCAGCTTCAAGTACCTTGGTGTAAACATCTCCGAGGACCTGACTTGGACTTCACACATCCAAACTCAGGAACTCAGGTTCAGGCAAAGACTGTACCATCTGCGACAGTTGAGAAAATTCAGGGTTTCGCCAGCAATCCTGAAAACTTTCTATTCAGGGGCCATAGAAAGTGTATTGACTCAGTGTATCTCAGTTTGGTATGGGAACAGCTCCAGTCAAAACTGCATAGCCCTGCAGAGAGTTGTGCGCTTAGCTGAGCGCATCTCAGGGTCTGCTCTCCCCTTTCTACAGGACATCTACCTCAAACGCTGCAAAAGCAGAGCTGCTAAAATCATCAAGGACTCCAACCACCCTGGTAGCGGTCTTTTCATTTTGCTGCCATCTGGTAAGCGCTTCCGTAGCCTGATGGCAAAAACTGAGAGACTTAGGAGGAGCTTCTTCCCCCAGGCCATCAGGCTCCTAAACTCAAACTCAGTCTCTTAACACCAACATGACTTAACTTAATTATCAGTAAGACACTTAATATACTGACATTGTCACTTGCACACAGCCATTTCTGTAATATTTTATTTATTTACTTTTTTACCCCTATGGCCCCACTTTATATTAAGTGGCCTTAACTACTATGTACTTACATCAAAAATTAAGTACAATGTACTTATTGTGTTCATATTGTATTGTAAAACACTTTTGCTGCTATTAAGGTGGGATATGGGTAAGGTTAGGGACAGGTTTGTTGGTATGGGTAGGTTTAAGGGTGGGTTAAGGTGTAAGGGATGGATCAACTGTGTAATTACAGAAATTAATTACAGATGTAATTACATGCAGGTATTTTAAAAATATAAGTACAATGTAAAAACATGTATGTACACAATAAGTGCATTGTACCAAATTATTAATTTAAATGTAAGTACATAGTTGTTAAGGCCACTTAATGTAAAGTGGGTCCACCCCTATTGCTGCTATGTAACTACCCTGTACAACCTGTTTGCACATTCTTCTCTTGTACATTCCTGCTCATCTTAATATTTATTAAGTCTACAGTATACTGTCCTGCGCATTTTATTTTATTATTTTTTCCATACCTATATTTATATATAATATTCTTGTGTTTGTATTCTTTAATAATTGCACTGTCCATGGAGCGGACCTGACTTACATTTCACTGCTGGTCATATACTCTCTATATAACCATGTACTTTATGTGACAAATAAAAAAATCTTGAATCTTGAATCATTAGACGCGGTGTAACATTTGCTTGCTAAACTATCATTTATTATGTAAAGGAGGCTTTGTACTTCTCTTGTTTCTGAATATCTACTTACAACAGCATCCTTCACATACGAAAAAAAAAAGTGTTTGGAAAAACACCTCACCTCAGGCACACTGATTGGCAAGACCTACATCTTGTACAACAGACAAGTTAAATTGAGTAATCAAATACCTTTTGTATGTTTAGCCTCATTTAGTTTGATGATGAAGAGGCTGCAATGTCAAGTTTGCTGTGCGCAAACTGTACGCACAGGAGGTGCCGGTGTGAACACTTGCATTCCTTATATCAGCGGAAAGATATCATATCTGACAGACAAGAGTAAGACATCATTCAAAATGGTCTATTTTTTTTATAAAACACTTGAACAGTGTTATATATTTTACACACTTTCCATATACTTATGACCGGAAGGAGCGGAAGCAGTCGACTGTGGCATAATAAAAGCTCCGCTGCTTTCGAGTTGTGTGTCACGCTCGTTCAGCGGCCTCGTTTTGCTTCGATGGCTTTCAGCCTCACTCTGCTTCATTCTACTATGTTAATAAATCATTAGCTCATCCATGAACATGATTTCTGCCCGAGTCCCGTCGGATTGCTTCGGGGATGAAGACCACAACTCCCATGATTCCACACTCAGTCACGGCATTATCAAACTATGCCTTTGTTTCTTTGTTTGTTTTGAATACGTGCCCTCTAGCGGCAAAAACTTACATATTGTGCCTAAGAAAAAAAATACTGACTACTTGTCACATAGAAATTAGAAATATATTCAGCTATAGAAACCTTGAAGTGCCCGCTTTAAGTGTTTGTTTTGCTTATTTGATATTAAATGCATTATATAAGTCACTTTGGAATATATATCATAGCACGTTTCAGAAGATAAAAAACATGACTTGTAGTCTGGAAAATACGGTATAGCAAATTATTTTGCGGACCCCCTGGCCTTGGGTCACGGACCCCCGTTTGAAAACCCCTGCTCTAGGAAGTTACCCTTATTATCGCGGTCTTCTCTTTTATCGCTATTATATTTTTAGTCGTGACAGTCACGACTCATGCAGCTGTAAGGTTTTCTTTTTCTTTTGTTTTTACTCGCGATCTTAACAACACGCATTACATTACGTATTTCATGGCACACTCGTTTTATGCGTATTTGGTGCCACCTATTGTTGCTGGTGTATTATTGACATGTCAAAGTCTAGACCCTGAATATAAGACGACCGCGTTTTTTCAGATGTTTTTCCAAGAAAAAAACATTGTCTTATTGGCCCGAATGGGTCAATACGGTAAATAACTTTTTGCAGTGGAATACCCCTCTGGACATCTAAGTTGCCTGTCATGTCAAAAAACAGGAGAGCTCAAAAAACTGCACATGCATCTCATTGTGTCACATGTTTTCATGTAGCGGTCCAGTAAATCAGAGAAACAGAGATATAAGCTGTGTGTCATTCAAAAGTATTAGATCCGGTCATTGACTTCTACATGAGCATCTCCCATCAGTTTACATTTGGGTAAAAATTTTAAGAAATTAAAGATGTTGACAGGTGAACTTGAGCCTCCTTTGGACTCACGGCAGGTCAACTGAGGTCAAATCTTCTAGTGTGACAACAAAGCTCCTTCACATCTGTTATGATATCCCTGTTGAAAAGAAAACAGCATATGCTGGTTAGGTATGTTTTGAAGCATGGCAGTCACGGCAGGGGTCAAATCTTCTAGTGTGACAACAAAGCTCCTTCACATCTGTTATGATATCCCTG